ATGGCGCCCAACGTTGCCCTTACAGCACACAGAGTGAAGAAATCCTGAAAGCACACTAGGATCAGTCTAGTATATAGAGAAGGCGCATGGACGTCGGGGAGGAACTAAGAAAGGACGCAAGTAGGGAGGGCGGAAAGCCAAACAACGATGCCAAGTTGATGAAAATATCGCTCGTATGGCACGTATAAGGGAGAAAGACCGAGAGCACATCTGAGTGAACCTAACAAGTAAAATAGGCGCGTGGACGCCAAGGAGGAACGAAGAAAGGGTGCAAGAAACAAAGGGCGTGCATAAGCAAGGAGGCATGCGAAGCGGTTGGGAAGAAAGGGTAGTAGGGCGTGTTGGGTATCCTAGAATCAGAAGACAGTTATTCCCCTAATATGAAGCATTAGGCGCCTAACTGGGGGGGAAATTACTAGGATATTTTCAAGGCCTAGCCCAATCGGTGAGGCTTGGAATAAGACGGCCCAAGCAGAGGTCGGCCCAAAGAGAAGAGGGAGAAATAAAGCCCATTAGGGTCAAACCGATCCAACGGCGCCCAGGGTAGGACACATGGGTTCGGCCGAGTCTCTGACAAGCGGCGCATAACGATAAATGAAAGCCAATGGGGAGCAGCATACGGAAAGCTGAACGGGTGATGTCATGCGCCTCGAGTCTGTGGCCGCCGTATCAGGCGGTCGAGGCGCATGGAGAAAAACAAGTACAAAGCATTAATTTCCCTGCTGACGTGGGGAGTAATTGGGGAGCATTGATCGACGAAGCTCCGAGTATAAATAGAGAGTTGGTGAACCTCATTTACTCAGTTCTGCTTCTCTCACGAAACTTTCTCTTACTTTTCTCTCTAAAGATTGGGCTATTGACTTGAGCGTCGTAGTGCTAACGGATCGCCGAGGTCTGCTAGGCGCTTTGGGTGCATGGCCAAGGGTACTATGGAGAGAGAGAGGAGGAAAAGGCGCACGGGAAGGTAAGCTAGGGGAGCACTAGCCGGGGAAGGTAGGTTGGCTCAAACAATAATTGAAAAGCTATTCCAGGTAAAAGAACTTCCCTGAATGGTATGCAGAGCTTCCAGGTTACTTCTCTGTTTGCCATATTTAGCTCGCATGATCTCAGTCCAGAGCGTATCTTTCTCCTTGAGCAATCTCCAGCCTCCCTTAGGAAGCATGGCCAGGTTGGCTTGTCTCGTTGATCTAAGCCCCGCCCCACCGTGATGCTTAGGACGGGTTAGTCTCACAGGACACTGTGCGCATTCTAGATTTATCTTCCTCTTCATTCCAGATAAAATCCATATTGATCTTGTCAATACTCTTACAGACTGCACTATAAATTAGTTCAGTATTCATACTGTTAGTAGGAATAGAAGAGGAGACCGATCTAGCAACAGTTAACCGAGCAGCGAAAGAGAGTTTTTTAGCCTTCCAAGGAGCAAGACTTTTCTTGATACGGAGCAGGTGGCCCTCATATCGCCCCTTGTTGATGCGACCATGAATGACCTCGATGCCCAAATATTTCCCAAGAGCTACTTTCAACAAGATGCCCGCCCTCTAGCTGAGCAACTGCGCCTTGTGTCTGTCAATGTTAGGCGAGACATACAACCCAGACTTAGCAAGTTCACTCGTTGTCTGAGTTAAAGCAGAAATCCTCCAAGCACCGCTTGATGTCACTAATCTGCCTCTTCTCGACTTCTGCAAAAAGGAGAAGATCATCTTCAAAAAAGAGGTGGGTGAGGGAGGGACCATTCCTAGAAAGACGGATAGCTTTCCACAATTTACTGTTCACAGCCTCATCAATTTTATGGGATAGATGTTCCATGCACAGGACAAAAAGATAAGGTGAGAGAGGGTCTCCCTGGCGGACTCCCCGAGTGGGAGAAATGGTATGGGAAAGCTCTCTATTCCAGAGGATCCGCATCTTATTCTGCTCCACACAATACATAATGCAATTGATCCAGGAGCTAGGCAGATCGATTGCAGAGTGTCTCTCAGGAAATCCCATATGAGCATGTCATAAGCCTTCTCTAGATCGATCTTGAGGATCATACCACCTTTTTTTCCTTTCTTCTTATTCAGTGAATGGAGAATTTCTTGGAAGACGATGATGTTGTCGGTTGTTTGCCTTCCTGAAATGAAGCTGATTTGCCTGGGTGAGATCAGCTTCTGCATAAAGGGCTTCAACCGGCTGGCCATGGCTTTGGTAATGGCCTTGAGACTGACGTTGTTGAAGGAGATTGGTCGGAGCTAGGAGACAAATTCTGGATTCTCTACGTTCGGGATCAGCACCACAATCGAGGCCGAGACCTCCTCAGGGAGGACACCAGAAGAGAAAAAAAAAGAGCCATCTCCGAGAGCATTTACCAACCACCTGCCAAGCTTGTTGGTAGAACGCAGGTTGGAACCCATCAGGTTCGGGGGCTTGAAAGGGCTTCATGTCAAAAATTGCTTTATGGATGTCCATAACTTTGAACAGTCTGAGCAACGTCATCATTTCCCCTGGTTAAGCCTAGGAAAGGCTCCCTTCGAAAGCCTGTTTTCGTACACCGACTCATCATGCATGTAAAGGTCAGCAAAAAAATCGAAGACAAGTTGCGCCAGAGCATTAGGCTCAACCACCCAATTCCCGTGCTTATCTTGGAGGGCTTCAATTTTGTTGCGGCGACTTCTAATGCGGGCCTGTTGATGGAAGTACGTGGTGTTACGCTCCAAGAACTTCACCAAATTTTCTCTTGCCCGCTGAAACCAGAAAATTTCTTCCTGTTCCATCATCTTGTCCAGCTCAGCCTCGAGTCTTGAATGAAGCTTGGCAAGAGCAGGGGAGAAAGAGTCGCTGAGACGTGATTCCACCCCTCTTATTCGGCCTAGCAGTCTTCTTTTCTTTTTTCGGTTGTTGCCAAAAACATTCATACTCCAATCCTGAAGCTTAGTGGTGGACTGCTGAATAGCATCGGTGAGAGTCGCACCATATTCCCAATTCCCCGAAACAAAGTCCATGAAATGATGGTGAGTTAGCCACACAGCTTTGAACCTAAAAGGACGAGGGACAGGGTTAGAAGGCCCCTGGGTGGCCACAACAGTAAGAATAGGATTGTGATCTGATTGAAGCCGAGGCAGATGCAGGACGAAGTGTTGGGAAAGTGAACATTCCACTACAGCTTGCACAGGCTTCTATCGATACGGCTAGCTTTGTAGGTATGATCATGGTCTCCCCTAGCCCAAGTGTAGCGAGGTTCAGAGAAGCCAAGATCAATCAACTCTGCTAGATTAATCCAGACGTTGAAAACCTGGCACCTTCTCAGAGTCGAAGCCATGGAACTGCCCGACTTTTCCTCCGGGGAGCGGATGGTGTTAAATTCCTCGGTAAGAATCCATGGGACATCGAAAGCCTTGCTTCGAGTGATAAGACTTTCCCATAGAGTGTGTTGCTCACTACGATGAGGAGAAGCGTAGATCGCAGGCAACATCCAAGAAGTTTCATTTCCGCAGGTAACCCGGCAAGTGATATGCTGATTACAGGTGGAAGTGAGTTGCAGATTAAACTTAGTGGCGTCCTAAAAAACCCAAATACCTCCTTTCCTACAATTAGCCTCAACTTAGTGGCCTCAAAGAAGTTTCATTCCCGTTGATTTGCGGTTCTAAGAGGATCACAACATCCGGCCTATGCTCTTGAATGGAAAGCTTCAGCGCACGAGCAAAATTTTTACTGCCTGCCCTACCAACATTCCAAGAGAACAATTTAAGTGTATTAAATGACGACATAAAAAATGGATTAAAAACAGAGAAGGGAGAGGGGAAAAGAACAGGGAACGAGGTCACCGAGTTAAGAAGATGGTCGGTCGGAGATGTCTCCCGAACTGATCGTCCTTGACGCTTCACTCATTGGCTCTGCCAACGTCTCCCCTCCCTTGTTGCCTCCCGGAGTTCCTACGTTCTCCATCCAAGCCTGTATTTCCTGTAGGGTTAAAGAAGCAATCCGGGAGTTGGATTTCCCCCTCCTATCTCTCACATGTGACTAAATTTTAAGAGTTTTTGCAGGATTGAACTTGGCCGGAGAGTGTCTCTTTGTTGTAGCTTTCACTTTCATCTGCGATTTGTTTTTCGTGGGGGATCTATTCTTCTTCATACGCTTTCCGACAGAGAGTAAAGGGGGTGTTTCTGTTTGGTTGGTGGTGCCGAATTGTACGATTTGCATCTGTGTGCCATTGGGCTCGGTGATCATTTGGATTTCAGGAGGAGGAGGCAGACTTGGTTGCTGGGTCGGGCTGTCCGTAGCTGCATAGGAGGCGTATTAGGCGGAGACACCATTGCTGGGCCCTACTGAGGTGGAGGCTTTATGGATATCAGGCCGCTCTTTTGGCCTAGGTGGGCTTCAGTTCGGGATCGGGCCCAGAATGCCCTTAGGAGACGTAGGGTTTTGGCCAAACACCTTCTCCTTTCCTTTGCTTTTTTCCCCGTTGATCTTCAAGCCGTTGTTCCCACTTTTTTCCGTTGCGGAGAGCGGTGTGGATAGGGGGCTCTTTGATTTCTCTAGAGAAGGTAAATAATCTTTACCTTCCTTCCCCGCTGCTCCTCCTTTCCCAGTTTTACTCATATTAGATGCGATTTGGTGCGGCTGATCTGCACTGAGACTTCCTTTCTTGGTATTTTCCCTGAAGTTTCGTATGCTTTTGCGGGTCACCATCATCCAAGGTCCAAAACCAGGATTCGACTTTGATTCCGTTTCCGTCAGCCCGCCCAACGGTTCGCCGCCGGCCAGGGGTAGAGTAATCGTGGATGTGGTAGTCGGTCGGAAAAGAGGACAAGTTGTCGAAGTATGGCCGATCTTTCCACATTCAAAGCAAATTGTGGGTAGATTCTCATACTCCACCTTCTGCCAGGCATCATCCAGCCAGATTCTTGGAACTAGATGTTTGGACAGATCAACCTCCACTGCAATTCTCTCGAATTTTGCTAGCTATGAAAATATCTGACAACTCCTATTTATGTAGTTGCATTTCAATTTACAACCCCCGGCACATATATACATTTTAGAAGTTTGCTTGCATGCCAATGGTTGTAATAATAAAATAAAATGGAGTATCTATCCAATTGTATGGTCCTGTTGTCCAAGAATGATAAGTAATGTAAGCAACATGTATAGTTTGAGAAGAAAAAGAAGCCAAGCACGAGGGACATATATATACGTGCACATCATCACACGGGATGTACTTAAAAAGCCTATACAATCCTCATCAAACTATTTTGATTACAGTTTTAGCAGTACGTACCCGGCCCTCTGCACTAGACAATCGTTCCTAGTATGTATATATAGTTTGATGCAAATTTGGGCCGCTACCTGCCCCCTTGGTTATGGTAGGAATAGGATTGTTGTGAATGTGATGCACCATTAATCGCATGAGTCCCATGAACGAGACTACCAAGCTGATGAAGTTGGTGTTGATAAATTGCAGCCAGATTACCCATGTAAAGCTCCATGCTCTTGGATTGAGCTAATGCATCGAAAGGGCCTACTGATGAACTAGCGCCATTGCTGTTGCTGACTTGCGGGTGCAGAAATTGCGGTGGAGAAGTTGGCATAGTTGTAGGAAGATGGAGGAAGGGAAAATTATGCACCATGCCCATCCCTAACCCAACTCCCATGGTTGCACTCTGTGCGGCCGCCAATATAGACATTTGTAGCTGCTGCTGCTGCTGCTTCTGTTGCTCCTGTTGTTGATGTAGTGCATGTGCATCAAAAGGGATCATCATTTGAGGGGCTGCGACCAAGCTTCGAGCATGGCTCATCATTTCAACTTGAGCTTGGAGTTGTTTCAAGTAATCGATCACCTCTTCCAACATTGAAGCTTTGTCCGTCTGATCATGCATGCATGCATGTTAAGTTGAATTTAATTAATTCTACACAATTAAGCTTCACGTACAAATTAAGATCTAGCTAGTTACATATATAAATGGGGGCGTCCCATCCATTATTAATTAATTAATTAATTAATTAATTAATTATTGTACCTTGTGTGCATTTGGAACTAGCTTTTGCAGTGCTTTCATCTTCTGGTTAATCCTCTCTCTGCGTCTCTATAATACGATCCAGAAAATAAGAGTAATGCTAGAATTAAGGGTGATGATAATTCACTAGAACTAATTAACTGATGCATGCAATTGTATACTGATGAGTAAGATTTTATCATTTACCCTTTCTGATTGATTGTGCACAGTAGATGTTCTGCTTCTCGTGTTAGCTGATGAAAGTGTTTTGCTTGTTGTTTCTGTTTTGTTGGACTCCTCCTCGTCTTCTTCTTCCACACCATCATTGCCTACCTGTTACATTGTAATTACTCCATTAATATCATAAATGATGCAATGTGAAAAATGAAAGATTATATTATATGTAGGATTAATTAGAAAAGGGTTAGTGGTGTTAATGCGATGCACGAGTAAGTAAAGTGATATTCATTAAATAGAAAACAAATCCGAATCCAAATAAATTCATTATCAAGTCCAAATCAAAATAAATTCTAAAAAAAAATGTAAGGCTCTAGACACAATTCTAGGAGAAAAAATATCAATGTGGTCCATTGTTAGAAGGCTTCACAAGAATACAATAATGAAAGCCAATTGCTTGGAGAAATGAATTTTATAGGGAGCATAGAAAGTTTGGAAAGAAGGTTTGAAGAATGAAAAATTCAATTGAGAATTAGTGAAAAAAGATATTTGAAGTTGGGTATAACTATTAGTAATAATAGATTTCACATGAAAATCTCCGTCTCTACTCCTCTTCGTCTTTGTCCCCCCCTTGCTTGATAGTTCTCTCGATCCTCCTTCATTCTCCAATGACGATGATGTTGCCATGCCATTTTTATACGCCCTCTAGGACCATGCTAATCCTCCCTCCCCACCAACTCCTCCGTCACCACCAGAGTCACCATCTCCACCGACTCCACCACCGCCTCCACCTTTGCCCACAACTCCAGTTTCTCATCGGTCCGTCCGTTCCAATCTCAGCCAGCCTCCATCTAGTTTGCATGATTTTGTGACATATGACATTGATTTTATCCCCATACCGGCTCATTACTCCCAAGCTCGGGGGAAACTGCATTGGGTCGGTGCCATGCAGGTTCAGATGGATGCAGTGGATCGTAATCATACTTGGGATCTTGTCCTTTGCCGTCTTCCTCCAGTTCCTGTGGTAGGTTCTTGGTGGGTTTATGATCTTAAGTTTCACACTGATGGTTCTCTTGAGTAATGTAGTCAAAAACACGTTTCTATGTAGAAGCGTTTTGGTGATCTAGAAGCGTAAAATCGTAAGTTTTTAAACTTCAAAACGCATTGTTTAACTACAATAGTTATAAAAACTGAGATTGTGCATAGAAGAGTTTTGGTGATTTTAAAAGTAAAAGCGTAAGTTTTTAAGTTTCAAAGCGCGATTTTGACTACATTGCTCTTGAGAGCTATAAGGCGCATGTGGTTGCACTGGGTTTTACTTAGGAGTATGGAGTCAACTTTGAGGAGACATTTGCTCATGTTGTCAAGATGGTTACCGTTCGTTCACTTCTAGCTGTTGCAGCTCTCCGTAATTGACCTCTCTACCAGCTAGATGTCAAGAATGCATTTCTGCATGGTGTTCTGAAGGAGACAGTGGACATGGAACGTCCTCCTAGCTACCTCCATGGTACTTCTAATCAGGTGTGGATACATCGTCGTTCTTTGTATGGTATATAGCAGGCTCCTCGGGCGTGGTTGGGAAAATTTCATGCTATAGTTATAGATCTTGATTTTCAGCAAAGTTTGAATGATCCGTCTTTGTTTACTCGTCGCACTGAGCATGGAATAGTGGTCTTGTTATTGTATGTCGATGATATGGCCATCACTGGTGACGATTCCTTGGGTATTGATCATCTTACTCGCGGCCTTCATGCCGCGTTCAGCCTGAAGGAGCTCGGCTCCTTGTCTTACTTACTAGGTTTGGAGGTGCATCGAACTAAGGGTGGTGATTATACGCCTGTCTCCACTCCTATGGAACTTAATTTGAAGTTGGATCGCGAATCAAGGGAGTTGTTGGAGGATGGGGGGAAGTAGTATTGCAGTATTGTGGGTTGCTTGATTGTGCACTTCCTGACTAAGGCATTTTTGTCCAATCGTTACTCCTATATCGCTGGCCAATTGATGATGCGAGACCTCCAACAATTTGTGGGAGGTTGTTGAGTAATGTGGGCCTAAGCCCATAATATTAGTGAGCTAGGGTTCTTGGATGTAGGGTATATATATGCATGTAGTTGTTTACGTTGGAGTTAAGAGAATAAGAGAAACATCTGCTTCGGTCGTGGACTAGTCTCGTTCATACTGAACGAGGAAACCACGTAAAACTCTGTATTGATTTCGTGTTCATCCATCTCCTTTTATATTCCATTACGAATTACAGTCAGTGCCATTGCACGCCTATATCATAAGGACGTGATGAGGCTGCATCGTTAACAAGTTGTTCCAAGATCGATCTAATAATTCCTATCCGACAATATATTGCCTGCTTTGGACCTAGACTCTTATAAGAGTTTTCCTTGAGATGCATATCAAGATGACTTTTCATAGAGTCACTTATTTTTATTGAAACATATTATTTTACCGTTACAAATTTGTTTAACCACGGGTATGTATGACAAAATACTCTAGGTACCACAAGTGGGTTTGATATAATTTGGAAGTAGAGTTTGGCAAACTATGTAAAAACAATTTGGAGTCTTATCACCACCCTATTTTTCCCGGCTATAGGCTCGCCGAGATTTAGCCTCAAGAGCTAGCTACGGCATATTTATTTATATTTATGTTAAGCATGTAAATATGATTTAAAATGAGTCGTATAAATCATATGAAAGTATCCTCGACCCTAACAAAAATAAAATAGAATAAAAAATATAAAAAAAAATGAGTAAGAGTAGATGGAGAGAAGTTAAAAAGAAAAGAAATTTGGAATTACCGATCGAGCGCGGGAAGCATGATCCTTATGAGGCTGCAGGGCTGTTCTCTTGCAGGAGGTCTGAAATGAAGCTGGAAGTGGCCACGTCATCACAGTACCATCGCTCTCTCCGCCCGACGCAGCAGCGGTGGCGCAACCCCTCTGATCACCGTCTCCTTGTCTGTAATAATTAATTAATTAATTAATTAACATCACACACATGATCGATTGTTGGTTGTTAATTAGTATAATCTAGTGCTGTTGTTGTGTAAATAATTAATTAAGCTGAAGGCTGACCGACTGACCGACCTGATGCGCTTCCGACAGGGGCCTGTGGTTGCAGATTTGGTGTCGGGTGGCGGCTGGACGGCGGCCGGAGGAGGCTTGAGAAAGGTGGCTTGGTGGACAATGGACTCCAGGGTATCGTTGTTGTTGTTGTTGTTGTTGTTGTTCCTGCTACTGCCAGCCCATATCGGTTTTGGGGTTGGGTTTTGGGTGCTACCCAGCCCGTTCATGGATAGCTGCCCCTTTTTCCATGTCAGCTCCGCGAGTTGATAATTATTGACCCAGGACCTGATAATATTATATTGTTTCAAACTTGGAGTCATATATAGTAAGAAAGAATTTCAAAGTGGCTTAGCTTACATGGGGGAAATTGAGAGATGGGCTGCGGTGCTGCTGTTGTTGTTGTCGCAGTACGCAGTTGAAGATCGAGATGGATGTTTCTCTACTGCTCTCTCTGTATGGACCTTAATTAGTTGGGTTCCTCTGCCTAGCTAGTTGCCAGCTGAGAGATTCAAACTGATCAACAATTAATATACAAGGGGGATGGAATATTAGAGCATAGTGTCCAGCTCTCGTTTAATTTGTTTTCGTTTCTGTGGAGGTGGTAGCGGTAGCCTGGTAGGGTATAAGTGAAAGAGAGGAGAGGATGGCAATATTATATTCCAAGTCGTTGGGTTGGGTTGGGTTGGCCCCATGAAAGGCTACAGCCAAGAATGTAGGGCAGAGTCGAATTAAATTGGTCCCATGCATCCCATTGAGAGGAGAGCACTACATCCACAAGAATTACTTTGGGCGACTGTTGTGTTGGGCCTCCTCTTAGTCTTATCTTGCGGGGAAGGAATCGATGGATGGATCCATATAATTAATTAATTAATTAATGATGCGGCACCAACTTGGCCAACGGGAATCGGGCGCGCGAGGTGTAGGGCAAGAAAGATATATTGTTGAGAGATCGACGGAATGTGTGTGATCAATGATGCGTTTGGGAGGGAGTGGTTGTGAATCATTGGCAGCGCTACCTATCTTCTTCATTGCTTTGCTTGCCTCTTCATGAATAATAAGATGCTTTTGGATTCTACGCGTCCTTTCTTTCTTTTCCTGTCTCCTGCTTTTTTTTTCCCCCATATTTCTTTCCTTCTTTTTACATTACAAAACAAAACAAAAACAAATCTATATACGTGTATTATTATATTTCACTACTCGGGGAAATCGTTGACAATTTCAACTATTATTTATTTTCTAGTAAGTCGCATTCTGCATTAACTCCATTGATTTTGATGGACATTATATATCCCAAAGAGCCAAACACAAGTGTAGCCTTCACCATATACATTTCAAGTACCTCAACTTTTACCATGTATAAGTGTGCTTTAATTCTATGGTAATGTCTATTTTATACCCAAACTTTTTCAAAATTCTTTTATTTTACCCAAACTTATCAAAATTCTATTTATTATCCAAACTTATTGTAACTGATCAAAGTCTGGGCATTCGTTCTGTTACCGTTACTTATTTCGTAACGAAACTCTGAAATTAATATTTGTAATATTATAAATTAAAAATAAATATATTTATTTATCTGATTAATTGCGTAATTCTTACCCTCTCTTCGTTTGAAAACCCAGAAAGGGCTCGAAGCATCGCAGCCTCCGTCGTCGCCCTTCAAAGCCTCGCAGCCACCATTCGACATCTCGTCTTCGCCGTTCGAGGACTCGCCGCCGCCGGTCGAGTCTTGCGCTGCCATTCTCGGTTTCATCCCTCCAACATCGTCTCACGCAAGGTAAGATGTAGTTACCCTTCGACATTGGGGTTTGATCAGTAGTGTCGAATCTCAATTGGATTGTTGATTGAGATGTTTCTCCTGTTCTGCGTAATAGAAGCAAGAATCATGTCTGCAAGGTCGAGCTCTGCAAGGAAGGGATGCACAAGGGACGGATCTGCAAAGGAGGGCTCTTCTAGCTCGACCAACGCAAATAACGATTCAGTTCTTCATTGCGACCACAAAGTTCTGTGCATTGTGAACAAGTCTGGTACCTCTAGGAATCCCAAAAGGTAGTTTTATTGCTGCACATATTGGAAGGTAATGTATTTTGGTTTGTTTTGTTGCTTGTTGACCTAAATTCGAAACAGCCATTGTCATTCCTTACTCTTGATTTTTTTAGACTGAAGACTGGAGGGTCTTCATATGGGTGGATGTGTATGAAATGCAGATCAGGAATTGATCATGGGGTGACTTGTTAGCAAAACTTCTTGAATCTGAAGAAATGAATAGGAAGTTGTCAGAAGCGTTGCTTAGGACCAAAGAAGATCGTGCCAGGATGATATCAGAGATGAGCATATTGGGCATTGTGATTTGTAGTCTAGACAGTAGGATCAGAAGTTTGATGGTCTGTGTAATTTGTGTCATTGCTTTTGTCGCATTATGTAGATTTCAGGGAGTTTGACTGTTGTGGCTAGCAAGTTCAGAAATGTAAGTTTGATTGTGGAAACTATGTTCAGAATGTAGGTTTGATTGCTGTGGCAAACAAGTACCAAATGCAGGATGGATTGTTGTGGCAAACTAATGTATCTGCGATAGTATTAATTGACATCACCCCTGTCATTAATAAGTAAAGAGGAGGGTACAAGATGAATCGAGCTTTTAAAATATACAAAGAGGCTGACCTAAGTCACCACAAAAGCTCAATCTGTTTCATCATGCCCTGCTAACACAACATATTACCTAAAATTCATAACTAGAACGGTGAAAGATGTTGCAAGATGAATCGAGCTTTTACAAAATACAAAAGAGGGTGAACAAAGTGAGTCACCACAAAAGCTCATTCAGTTTGATCATCTCATACCCTACCTAAGTTATCTACCAACTACATAAACATCATACCCTACACAAGTGATCTAGCAACTACATAAAGATCATTCCTGAGGCTGAGATGGTGGCTGAGTAGATGGCCCTTGAGTATCATCAAACTCGGTTTGTTGAGCTCGCAATCCAGTCGTAGATGTACCAGCTACAACTTCCAAATCAGTATATATTGTCGCCCCACCTATAGCATCCCTCACTTCTCTATCAACCCCAAAGTTCAAATGAAGAGGCTTACCTGCTCCAGCCTACACCAATCAACGGAATTATTCAGTGAAGTGTGATGCATTCTAACACAAGATAAACTAAAATCAAGCATGCTTACTTGTGCTCCTCTATTATCTGGGAATTTGCTAGCATTGTGTTCTGTTGACTTGCATACACCACAATGTTGAACCCTCTATTCAAAGCCTCGCAGCCTCCGTCGTCGGCCTTCAAAGCCTCGCAGCCGCCATTCGACGTCTCGTCGCCGTTCGAGGACTCGCCGCCACCGGTCGAGTCTTGCGCTGCCATTCTCGGTTTCTTCTCTCCAACATCGTCTCATGTAAGGTAAGATGTAGTTACCCTTCGACATTGCGGTTTGATCAGTAGTGTCGAATCTCAATTGGATTGTTGAATTATATGTTTCTCCTGTTCTGCGTAATAGAAACAAGAATCATGTCTGCAAGGTCGAGCTCTACAAGGAAGGGATGCACAAGGGACGGATCTGCAAAGGAGGGCTCTTCTAGCTCGACCAACGCAAATAACGATTCAGTGCCTCGTTGCGACCACAAAGTTCTGTGCATTGTGAACAAGTCTGGTACCTCTAGGAATCCCAAAAGGCAGTTTTATTGAAGCACATATTGGAAGGTAATGTATTTTGGTTTGTTTTGTTGCTTGTTGACCTAAATTCGAAATAGCCATTGTCATTCCTAACTCTTGATTTTTTTAGACTGAAGACTGCAGGGTCTTCATATGGGTGGATGTGTATGAAATGCAGATCAGGAATTAATAGTGGGGTGACTTTTTAGCAAAACTTATTGAATCTGAAGAAATGAATAGCAAGGTTTCAGAAGCGTTGCTTAGGACCAAAGAAGATCGTGCAAGGATGATATCGGAGATGAGCAGATTGAGCATTGTGATTTGTAGTCTAGACAGTAGGATAAGAAGTTTGATGGTTTGTGTAATTTGTGTCATTGCTTTTTTCGCATTATGTAGATTTCGGGGAGTTTGACTGTTGAGGCTATCAAGTTCAGAATGTAAGTTTGATTGTGGAAACTAAGTTCAGAAAGTAAGTTTGACTGATGTGGCAAACAAGTACTAAATGTAAGATTGATTGTTGTGGCAAACTAATGTATCTGCGATAGTATTAATTGACATCACCCCTGTCATTAATAAGTAAAGAGGAGGGTACAAGACGAATCGAGCTTTTACAAAATACAAAGAGGCTGACCTAAGTCACCACAAAAGCTCAATATGTTTCGTCATGCCCTGCTAACACAACATACTACCTAAAATTCACAACTAGAACGGTGAAAGATGTTACCAGATGAATCGAGCTTTTACAAAATATAATAGAGGGTGAACAAGTGAGTCACCACAAAAGCTCATTCAATTTGATCATATAATACCCTACCTAAGTTATCTACCAACTACATAAACATCATACCCTACACAAGTTATCTAGCAACTATATAAAGATCATTCCTGAGGCTGAGATGGTGGCTGAGCGGATGGCCCTTGAGTATCATCAAACTCGGTTTGTTGAGCTACCAATCCAGTCGCAGATGTACCAGCTACAGCTTCCAGATCAGTATATATTGCCTCTCCACCTAGAGCATCCCTCACTTCTCTATCAACCCCCAAGTTCCTATGAAGAGGCTGACCTGCTCCAGCCTACACCAATCAACAGAATTATTCAGTGAAGTGTGATGCATTCTAACACAAGATAAACTAAAATCAAGCATGCTTACTTGTGCTCCTCTGTTATCTGGGCATTTCCTAGCATTGTGTTCGGTTGACTTGCATACACCACAATGTTGAACCCTCTATTCAAAGCAAATAAGCAAGTTAGTGTAAGTCTGGTCAGAGTTGTACCTTAGGTGGGTTTGAGCCACCATGTTGTTGGCCTCTTCCTCTCCCCCTGCCTCTCCCTCTTGTTGAATCAGTTCCTCTCCCCCTGCCTCTCCCTTGCCTTCACAATGACATTATTCCAACTCTCACAAATATTGCTGTCCACAGAGTCTGATTTTGGGAGTCCAGAGAGGAAAGCACGACAAAAAGTCTTGGGGTCTTGCTCCATAAAGTCTGTAAATGGGGTCATTACTGCTTGTGCACTTTGGAAAACCTCCATTTTGGCCGTGGAAGCCTCATGCTCTGGCACATTACATGCATAAACTGCCTCCCAGTAGATCTTTCGCATCTTCTCATTCTTAACCTTGACCTTCCAATTGGCAAACACGTGGCGGGCACACTTCCGATGCTTGGCACTAGGCATAAGTAGATTGATTGCTTCAACTAAACACTGAAATAAATAAATAAAAAGAACAAATCTTAGACATTCAGGCCCACAAAACATGCTTTATATATGTAAAAAACAGCAAGATTGGGAATACCTTTTGCTAGTCAGAACCTACGCTCCATCCAACCCCGTCCCCGTATCCCAACTCCTCTTGCAAATGCTCTAGAAACCACTTCCAAGAACTCTTGTTCTCACCCTCCACAATAGCCCATGTGAATGGGTAAATGTGACAGTTTCCATCCTTCCCCTCGGCAATCAAGAGCATTTCTGGAACCTCGTCCTTGAGGAAGCATCCATCGATGGAAAAAATTGGCCTGCAACCAGCAAAAAAACCTTTCTCAAGCTGGAAAATCCAAC